GCAAGTAACTTTCAAACAAAACCACTTACGATGCTGTTTTCCCTAGTAACGACACTGTCAGCACTGAGTCCCCATAGTGAACAAGAGGCGACATTAAGGGATGTTTTTCAAAGCGCTCAAACGGACCGATTCTCAATGAGTATTCATTTTGCGGCATTTTGCATGATTCGGAGAACATGGATGAAATGGACCTTTCCTTTGGGGCACATTCAAAACTTCCCTGAAACCATGGCTTGACCGAAAAAGTTTTTACAAAGGGCTTAACATTACGCCGACATTTAGAACCTACTCAGATAGTCGCAGTTTTGCTAGAGTTTGTTCAAGCATACTAGGGGTTTACCTTGGACGAATTTACGTTTTTACTTGGTAATTGATCCGGTGGTTGTTGATCTGTTCGCCGAGCTTGGCAATTGATTTGCAAACGTTTCATCAACATTCGAGGAGACATCTTCAGTTCGCTGTTGGTTGGGTAGTTCCTCTCTTCGTGCCTGCGTTTATATAGTCTACAAAGAGCAGCCTTTGCGCTGTGACCTGGATTCTGATTGGCTAAATGGCTAAATGGCTCAATGGGATGTCTCTATTATGACGGTGGAAGATATTGTGGTGGAGTTGATTTCAACTAATGTTGAAAATGTGCCTAAACAATGAATACGCTTTCTATGTCCGCGCAAACCCAAAATGGGGAACCAGCTGGCGAATGATGTAAAGAAACGTCTGCTAGCGTTGCAGCAGACATCCCGCCAGAGAGCCGAAAATTCGTCATCGCTAGTAGTTTTGGTGGGTTTTTTAATACTAGTCAGCACAAGCTGGCAAAGTTCTATCCCAATTGATTTACTGACTCCTTGATAGTATCATGAAAAGAACTACTGGGCTTATGGGCAGAGTGAATAGACAGTACAATATGGTGGTCAGCACTTTAGAGTTTTGGCACAAACTCAGCGGATTGTGGGGGTCTTGTTAGCGCATGTGACAGGCTGTGCGGGGAAAAATTAGGGAAATGGTGAACTGAGGGCTAGACACCAGAATGGGTATGGTATTCGTAGTACCGTCATCGCGACGTCGTTCATGGGTGTGTAGACAGATCAGCACATCAGCGTCCTGAGCGAGTAGGAGTGATAAGGGCTAGCTTGGAGCGGGGATATCGTTGGATCTATCGAGGGCACGAGGTCATAATACAGCCATATCCAGATTGGGGACTCAAAAGGTTGAAACGCGTCGGAAAGAGCTACTAGCGAATGCTGGGGTGTGAGTTAGATTATGACCTTGAAAAGCAGGCAGCTAAGGGTGGTTGGTTAAAAATCGAGTGTGGAAGAAAGTAAAACGTAAGTAGATAGCTGTCTGTTGAAAATGCGAGCATATTTTTGCAAAGAACAGTCGGTGGTGGCGGGTCGACCAAATGAGCTGAAAAATAGATAGATGTATTTTGCGTTGAATATAATCGAGAAAGTTATGTTCTACCCATAGCAGCTGGACCAAATACGGTAGGAAAATAAACCTTGCGTAGAGAGGGATGCAGCAAGAAAACACAATAGGCCGTTAAATGGGTGTGAGGCGCACGTAAATTAGGCGGCCAGACATATTAGGAGGTCAGCTATGTTGAAAGAAGCCAAGAACAAGAGAACTTTAGAGTATCTGTCTAGGAGAGACAAGGAAGAGCGCATAATTACACCTTAAAAACGGTAGGAAACATGATGCAATGATTGTATGGATGCTAGTGTGCAGAAGAGACGATTTAAAGAGCGTTTAAATTGAAACCGCCAAGATGGACCCAGTCGGTCGCGATATATATATATATCACTGCGACTCGCCTTTTAGTATTGTGGCCGGGCTAAGTTTACTGGAGACACTGCTGGTGTTTGGCTGCTAATGGGCCGTTGTTAGTCTTTACAACGAGTGCCTGAAGGTGTAGGCACCTCGGATGATTGTTGCAAACTAACAGTTTGTTTTCTTCACAATAAGGTTTTCAAATAAACTGCGCTTATATGACTGTGAAGTATAAGATTTTGCGCGCAAGAGTGTTTTAATTTTTATTTTAGTTTTCTTCACAATAAGGTTTTCAAATAAACTGCGCTTATATGACTGTGAAGTATAAGATTTTGCGCGCAAGAGTGTTTTCGATAATTTTTATTCACTTAAAAACCACTGTCAAGTTAAAAATGTCAAGACATGCAGTCAGACTAAACGCGTTAGACTGAAAGGTCCTCGCATCGTAAAAATCACTTCCGATTCTCTAATAACGATTGGTACCGCCCGAATGTAATAGCTGTGGGTTTATTCTCAAAATCCATGTTGTATGTAGTGGGTAGTTGATGGAATAATGACTGCTGGTTGGCCACGCGCTGAAAGTTGGCCTTTTAACTCCATTAAACTGTGAAATATTCATTGGATGAGATTCTTGGGCAGCGACAGTCGCTTAACCACTGGAACTGGGTTGAATTTTGCAAGATAACTATTGGTTGTCCACAAACCCTTGCACTGATGAAGTAATCAACCGTGAAGTAACTGTGCAATGGATTTTCGCGGATGACCCATGGTCAATTATCTATTATTAGCGAGCAGACTGTGGCTAAATTTCGCGAAATACCAGCATAACCTGATTATATCAGGGGCTTGGCGACCCCCAAATATCCACAACATGGGTGCTGTTACCGTCAGTTCGCTAGTAAACTACCATCAAGTGGGCGTAAATTTGCGACCACTTCAACCATATTTCAAGCGTTGAAGACGACAGGTACGTAAGGGCTTTGAAGGCCCACGAAAACATCCAAAAATTCGTCGGCAACATCAGTACCGCTTTTGATACGTGTAGCCAAAGCGTACGGTGCAGAACAGCGAGGTGTATTCCATATGCTTTCGTGGCACTGTCCATTGATTCGGATTAGTGGCTGCAGCCACAATGTTATTAGAGACATGTCGGTTCGCCTTGTTGGACACTTTTTCTGTGCCATCGTTCAGGCTAAAGAGACAATCGAACCCTTCGCACCACTTTGCCCATGGAGAGATAAAACGCTAGTGACGCTGGATGGTTGATCACGCACCAATGACTGAGTAACCATCACACATTCATGAGCGACTTCGTCAGGTCTTACATACGGTCCTACTTGGAGCATACAAATGGGCTGATAAGATGAAATTACTTCCGCTGGTGGGTGGGTGCATTGGTGGATATAATCGAATATCAAGAAGACTTGCTAGACGACATTCGAATGGAACCCATGCCTAACATTTTCCAAGCAGTAACAGTTGGTTGGTGAAGATATTCGTCGACAAGCTCTTTCCTGTCAGTCCCTATTTCAAACGACTGGAATTAATAGCTAATGCAACGACTACGGCCGAGTCACGGTGCCTTTAGGGAATTTCTTACCAAGAGTGTCTTAAGATGCCTGTCACTGTAGCAGTGCTCAAAGTGGTGGGGTTTTCAGGAACTGAATGGAAGGCATCGGATGTCAATGTCGAGTTTCACAAAACCCGCAAGCATCCAATTAATGTAATGCGCCCTACCGCTTTTGATGAAAGCATTCAGCTGTAGGACCACTTGGGTGTTCAACCGCCATACCACCAGAAGGAAGCACGAGGGCTGGGATACCGCCAGCCTAGACAGGGGAAGTCGACAGGCAGAGGTCAGGTTCGAACTACGGACCCAAAAAGCACAAGGGCTGAAATAATACGAGGTTGCTCAGGTTTGAACCGGAGTAGTTGAGGTGCTGAGGTCGGGTTCGGCACACAGATCTTCCGGTTAGTAAGTCTGGCCCTTAACCACTGGGCTACCTCGAGCTCAACTGAAAGCAGCCCGCCAGTCCGCTTAAAAATCGAATTGTAGGATCGGATAATCCAAGTTCATTTATACAAAGAAAACCATATATTACTGTCTAAAGCCACCATGTGGGATTCGAAAGCCTGAATGGTGCAGCTCCTAGACCCCAAGAACTGTTCGGTGAATAAAAGACGGAACGAAATTTTTTTGATATATCGGGACCATGGGAAAAAACAGATCAAACGAGTTATATGAGTGAAAGAAACTTGTAAGCCGGGTCTGGATGTGTGCGAGAGCCTGATATTCAGTCAGCAGCTGAAGAATACAGAAATTGTTCACAACAAAAAGCAAGGTAGACCCTGCTTTTTCACCTTGCCGGGGCGCCCGGTGGGGCTTTAGTTGAAGCCGAACGTTAGCCACGCACGTGCGCTATCGGTGAGTGGCAGATGGTGGACCAATCTAAACCGTGTGCCATTTACTGTTCTTACAGTTATTTACATGGACATTTAAATAGTACGGCTTATTCCATCCGTTAGCACTCCATTCTTTATAGCATGAGACAGTGAACACTTAACTGGTCTGAACTTTTTCTAGGCCACGACTCCCCGGTGTAATATTGTCCGCTGTATCCACTGTAGATCCAGCTTCTGCTGTCGAAATGGAGAACGGCAACCTAATAAGAATACCTGCAGAGGCAGACGAGACCAATCGCACTTACAGTGGAGGCAAATGCACAGCGGTCACGGCTAAGGAACCTGAGGTGAAGACCTAGGTAGCGACGGACCATGGGGCAGGTCATTCAACGATACGTAACTATACGCATAATCAAAAATGATTTTACACGTCCAATGATCAGACGCACGCGAAATTCCAGTTCATTTCCTTGCGACCAACGCTCACTGACTGTCGACAGAGTGCCGAAATGACTTTCCTTTGTCCATGTTATCCAGTCTTAAATGAGATGGTCCTTGGAGCTTGTGGAGTTGGGTATAACAACTCGTTTCTCACCTATCCACTAGATATAACTCAGAGGGTATCAAATAGCTGATCCTACAAGATTGACAGGAGCTACGCGATCTAAACGGCATTGCCACGCTATTATGACGTGGATACGCACAGTCGCAAGCCAATCTACTGGCAAGTATGAAATATTCAGTAACACGCAAAGTTCGATCCAATCCTCGAAAAGATTTGCATCCACTTTCCCTAGTCATATCAGTGCGAAAATATCCAGAAGGATCAACACGAGCCATTTATGGAGACCACTCAATATGGACGCTGCTCTGACCCAACTTGTTCATCAAAGGGAAATAGTATACATAGTGAACAGTATTGCGTTTGCTAAGAATGTACCAAAAATAGATAAACATACTGAAGTTGAAGGACGAATTAAATCGAGTTACGAGTGGTCGGATCAACGAAAACACCAGAGGCGATATGATAAAGAACATGTGGATGGGGGGAGGGGGTGAACATGAAAATGAATGGTTCACACAGAGCTGAAGAATAATGTTGAAGTGGTGAAAACAACCCATGGGGGACTTTGGAAACAAAGGAATACAGTCAGTCATTGTTTGCAGATTTAGGAATAGACAGAATTGCTTGTGTGAAAAAGCGTGTAGGCCGGACTCTGTTCCGGCTCAGTTTCCGCGAGCATTGCACTGGATGAAGGGTTGTAGCTTGCTAGCGCACAAGTTGGGTCGCTGACCCGACGAAGGAAAATGTTATCGCAAACTTACATCGGTGCATAAAAAGCGGCACGGGGATTTTCACGGTGCGCACATCTTAGTACAGTGAGAAAAGGAAGACAACCACCGGTAGTATTCCACACGGATTCGCAAGAGAAGTGCATCACATAGGCACTGCTGACATCGGCCGACATGTGGTATCAGACATGGTAACAGACGGGTGTGTAGGGCCGTGTACGAAGTAGCATGACCCGCTTGGGATGCAAACGAAGTAGTGTCGAATAGAGGGCGGCAGACAGACAGGAGTGAAGGCAGTGATGGAAGCTGATCTCCTACATAGTTCCCGCTATAAAAGTGTACAACGAACTTTCTTCTGATCCGGTCGACTATACGTGGGAGGAGGTTGAACGGGTTGGCGTCTAAAACCGTCAAGCATAAAAAGGATTATCAACAACACGCATTAAAAATGAGCGAAATTAGGATAACACGTATGTCCTTCGATTGGACGAACCGGCATCCATGAAATAACCGAATGGAATTGAACAGTAAAAGAGAGTTCAGTTTCGTTCGAGAGTGAAAGCGTCACCTTCGAATTTACTGGAGTCATCCATTATCATTTATTTGAAAGCCTTATTGTGAAGAAAATAAACATATATGGGGAAGGGGTTTAGTGCTAGCCTACGACAATCAGTTCGAAGGGCTTACAACCCGGTAGTCCAAATACCAAGAAAGATTTCAAATCTCTTCTCACAGTGCATGAGGATGGATGGGGAATAAAAGCAACTGTTCGAATGGGTCAGGTGTGATTGCGTGAATAGGTTACAGCCCGTTACCGAACCCCCTTCATAATACTGGTCTATGACGAGGTGTCAGTTGAAATGGTTGAATTCGGGCGTAGTTTCCGTGGAGTGTAAGTATAACCCAGGACTCAATCACAGAGTAGTTAAAATATCCCATCGAAAAATCAACTATCGGGGTTGTTCATGGTGACCTGATGTTTACACTACTCTTGTACTCAAATAGTACGCGCTATGCACACCAACGCTAATAGCAAATAAAATGCAACTTCTAGGATTCTAGTTAAAGTCCTATCAAAGGATCATTCCGTTTGCTAAGCTACAGTACACTATGCATCTAGGCAAGAGGGTTCGGGATGCTCAATCAATCAGAAATAGGAAATAGCGAAATGGTCAGATCACTGTTAACGGTTAGCAAAACCACTAAGAAACATCGTGAATTCGTTACCAAATATAAAGGGGAGTCTAAATGGAGGTTGCACACAGACGAGTCGCAATCTAATTCGCGTTTTATATCCACTATAACCAATCACTCCCCAAAGTAACCAAGTGGACGAATCCTCGACATCGGATAACCGATTCCATATTTATATTGCGAGTTACTGAGTTTCCGAATAAATTCTGTGTTCCCGAACTCACTTCTTTCCTCCACACAAACGCTGAAATTTGACAGACTTCATTTGGTTCGTGACTGTTAAGGAATTCATTCTAGAAGAACTCAACGGTTTCGGAAGAATGGAGGCCTCAGGTTTGTGAACTTGGGCCTCCTCTGTCTCGATTGCCGGCCTTTTTTTATCTTGTTTTTGACGCACGGGACATCCATCTTCACTCAGTGTACCGATTTTCGCCGAAGGAGACTTCTGTATTCTCTCCACAATTCCACCTCAGGATGGTACGTGCATTGGGCAGTGTCACAAGTGGGAGTACGAGATATCCACCATAATATGAATTCGGGTAGGTTCTACTCGTACGTACTCTACCGTCACGAAGAGACTGGACCTTACCGTGGTGTAGCGGTTTGTGTACCTCCGCAACCCATTGAGCTATACTGGGGCGTGTCCTCGCGACACTCAGAGTCTCTCATACCTGGTTGATACATGGCTAGAGGTCTGACGAACACAGTCTCCTGGTCCTCCAGGTCGGGTTCGGAACTTGCGTAGCGACGTGTTTGGTAAAAATGGTAATGCAGTTGCATTTCCAGCCGAACATCGTTGCCTTGCGGTTAGGCTTTTGAGTCAAAGGCTTTGGTCGACAATCCTAATCGTCTTCCTGTCTAGGTGTGGGCACTCTGGCTGTATCCTAGCCCTCGTACAACCAAGACATACACAACCAACAATACTTGTACGAAAAACTTTGAATGTGTCCAGTGGGCCCGAACACTTTGAGTCATGTACCACCGGAGTGGAACTGTGTGAAGCTACGAACTGAGAGAGATGCATAGGACACCGAGGACTGAGAAACAAAAGAAAACATGAGAGTTATTATTTCCGGCGCGAGTCCTTTTCCCATGCTAACTATCTAGCGGGTGAACACACAAAGGTGTTCGTTCTCGAGACAGGCCACCGTACTCTGACAATGTGAGTCCTTGAAATCGATCCTAATTTCTCGACTTTCTCAAGTAACGTACAATGAACGGTCAACTAAAGAAGCATGCCTTCTCACCTGACCTCTCCATGCTATCTATCGCATCAGGGTCAACCTTTGATGATGAACAAAAAGTGAAAATTTAGGATGTCACATACCTGATAATCCGGACAAGGTCGTGGAAGAGACTGTCCACATTCACAGGGGGATCCTTGGCACTGGTTTCCATATACTGAATCTGAGAAATAGAAAGCCATAGATAATATAGCCATATATACGTACACCTCATAAGATGCACAGGTAATTGTACCATATCCACCTGTTACCTTGGTCACATTGGCACCAGCGTCTACCCATGATAAAAGGCCTATGATTTCCAAACACAATTGTATATTGTCCAAGTTTGATCGAAAAATTTCCGGTGGACTACTTTGCTTGAGCAACTGTCTTCAGTCATTAGATAATAAACCGAAAGATGGAACACCAAGGCAGGACACTGGTGTGTTAGCATCTTGTCTTTGACTTGCACACATGGTTAAAAAGACAGCGCCCACCAAATCATCGGAAATTCCGACAATATTTTTCAGCTGCATAGTTAGTAGGGTAGGTGTAACTTTCACTCGTTCATAGAATTTATTTTGTTAACCCCACAACTACAATTCCCGGGAAAGTCACATGCATTAGCTGAGCTTGTCCCTATACGCCCATGTTCAGCGGCGCGACTTGATGGTCTGTTCAGCATGGACTCAAGATGTTACGTAAGTGGTGATGATTGTCCTTCGCAGCACTGTGCTGATCACTGTTTAGACGCAGTAAACGTTGTTGCGTTACATGATGTCTCGTTATTGATGGACAATTATGAAGGCAGATTGACAACATAGCCATTAGTACCCGGTCGCGAGGCTCAATTCATGGTTTTGGGTCTTTCTGGACCACTCACAACGATTCAGACCATGTTCTTATCCGATACAGATGTTCCACAAGTTTCCTCGAGGGACCGAAGTAGCACGGGATCGGAGGACGATACGACTCCCACTGGATATGGTCGAGATCGATTGTCCTTATCGATTCCAGGAAATCTATCCCAGCGGGCAGTCAGTGCGGCGGTGCACGCAAATCCCACAATGCCAAGTATCAAGGAGCCTAAGCAGAGGCTGAGAACTCTGGCGGGCGTCGAAAGTTAGGGAACTGGAGAAGGCTTTCGCTACAGGCAACATCAGTGCTCTATATCAAATGACGCGATCGACTGACACTAGGAAAGCAACGGTAAGTGCAACGATACGTGAAAAAGGTGGTCCATTAATTCACGCGAAAAAACTTCGACTGGAAAGATAGACTGAACACTTCGGATAACCGTTTGGCTGGCTTCTTGCAACACAGCCTTTGGAACGAAGAGAAAGTGCTTGCAGTGTGGAGCATGTCGACAGTTATTCCTATCCTCGAAAATGGTACGCGAATGCTGTGTGAAAACCACCGTGGCACCAGTCTGCCAACAGTGGCATCAAAGATACTCTTTGATTTCATCCTTCGAAAGGCGGCTGAACGGGGGGGGGGGGGACCGATCCTCGAAAACCAAGCTGGGTTCCGTCCTGAAAGAGGATTCACCAATCACATAATCACCCCCCGACAGATGCTGGAACGGCGACCCTGCATCCAGTAACCAACAATGGTTGTCTTCCATGACTTGGAAGCTGCTTCGACTCTGTGTAGAGTTAGGCACTATTGTAGCGTTTGTGAAGCAAAGGTGTTCCTTGTAAACTCTTGACCCTCCTGAAGGGGTTGTACGCCAGCTTCCGCAGACGTGTGCCGGTTAAAAGGAAGCTCTCGCCTGCGGTCACTACATCAGGTGATGTTAGGCACGGATATCCTCTTTCACCTTCTCTCTTCAACTCCGTTATTGATACGATTGTGATAGACTCACTACCACCCTCTAGTGAATGTGGGTCGAAGTGCTCCCGGAGCATTCGCTCACAGATATCGAGCACAGAGACGACATAGCTCTTTTTGGGTCCGACACCGTCGTAATGCGAACATTATTCAGAAAATGTGAATGATTCTGCCGCACGGTTTGGCATCCACCTCACTCCAAACCCGCAAAGTGCAAAGCACTGCTGCAAGACTGGGTGAGCTCGAACTCTAATCTTGCAGATGAGCCGACTGACGTAGTAGTCGAATTCGCCCACCTCAGTGTCTGTATCAGCCCCGGTGATCTAGCCAAAGATCATATTTTTATCCGGATCGGAAAGCCAGAGCAACTTTCGTGAATCTGCATTACTTGTTGTGTGGGTGTCCCATCAACTTATTCGTCAATGGTAGGGTTTCCAATGTTGCGATGCGCTCAATATTATTATAGAGATCAGAAACCTGGTCGCTGCGCGCCGAGGACATGGAAATTTTCAGCCGGAGTCTGGTGAGAACACCGGATCAGTAATGCTGAAGCACGTGGAATGGTTCTCGGAAGAACTAACTCATCCACGATGGCTGAACTGATCATACCACATATGTTGTGCTGGTTTGACAACGTGTTCCGTATGTCAGTCGACCGATGCCCTCCAAGAGCTCTTTATGCATAACCACGTGAAGGGTGGAAACGAATCAGGGGAGGTTAAACAACTACTTGACACCGAGGTATGGAAGCCAGCAAACTCCGCCGCGCTGGTCATTGCCATCTTCCCGGATGGGAACTCCGAGACGGGACACATCAATGGTTAAATGTATTGTCGAACGCGGCTCAGTCGCGCCCTTAACGGCGCTCGTGCGTCCAAACCATTACCTTCAACGTACAGCTTCCCTCTCAATCCACCAATTAAAAGTCCACTGATAACCCTGTATTTGCGTATCTGCCATCACCTCTAATACGCAGGTACCCCATCTCCCCACATCGTCTGTAAACGAATCTTTGGCAGCCATAACCACTGTACGGAAAGTACGTGGCTTTTGCCGCTGAGGATTCGTACTCTTACATCTGACCCTTTACTGAAGCATATTTTCCCCATTGCAAGCACTTGTTCTCATTGTTGGATAAATGATTGAACAGAGGTTTACATCGAACAGTAAAACAAGCACTTGGACGGCCGACGTGAATGTGAGAACAAAGCAGTCAACGGTCTCCATACGCGAGCCAATCACAATAAGCAATACCACAAAGATGACATCGAGCTAGCATTTCATTAGATTCAGAATGATATATGTTGAAACGTGATCGGGTTATCTGAGCATCTGCATGGGATGATCGAACAGTACGTCGATTGAATAAGTGTTGAATGGATCGGATATAGGAGCTGTCGTACCACCAAGCGTCGTACAAATAAGTGAAAGTCCCAGGTTAAAACATTCCGAGGAGAAATAACAGCAAAAGGGCTGTGCCAGGCTACATGATCAGGTTTGCTTGCCAATTTGCAGGCAGAAGAAGGCTGTTCGAAACCGAGTACTGCAAGACATGCTTCCCCGCGACTGGGTCGCAACGATTGCAAGCATTATTGACAGGAACATGTTAAACTCGTGCATAATACATTGTCATTTTTAAAACAGTAGGCAGTCAGATGAGTCAAATGTCATGGTTGGGAACTATACAAGAAAAATGCACGAAAACCGGTATAGCTTTTAACAAATAATCAACCAGAATCAACAAGATGGGTGGATATTCATGTGACCAGAGCACGTGCAGTTAAGCCGGAACGGTTGAAAACCGACCACCTAACAGCCAGCAAAAGCCTGTAATTATGGTATAAAAACAGCAGTTACGTAGCAACCTGTCATGTTAGCACTACTGTGACATACAGAAAAATAAAACAGGCAAACCGGTGTAAGGGTGCCTCGAACAGGGACATACCTTAAGCTTTGTAGCCAACTGAAGTCCCTCTTCCTCGGTGATTTTGCGCTGTTGCACCAAATCTATTTTATTCGCTGCAAGGATCATGGGAAACGTGTCCCGATCCTTGACCCGGAGGATCTGAGTGTGAAATCGTTCAACTTGGGCAAAACTGTGTGGATCAGTCACGGAGAAGACGATGATGAACCCCTGACCTTTGCGCATATAGTGCTCCCGCATAGCACTAAACTCCTCCTGACCTGCCGTGTCCAGCACTGAGAATGATAAAGAAAGTAGGCGAACCCAAAATTAATAAATGCAAGATAAGTAGGGCACGCACTGGCAATTCTCGGACAAACAACTACTCTCAACGAACCTGAGCGCTTGAACACAAGTCTAAATCAAGGAATTCCTTGGGGGCTCTACCATTATAATGATGGGCATATGGTAAGTGGCTGAAGTGAAGCACTGATGAAAATTATCACACATCAACAGGAAATTGGAGGTTGATCGACAACGTCAATTATAATCTCAGGAACTGTACACAAACTAGTGAGTTCCCAGTACGATAAAAGGTTAGGTTTACTCCATCCTGGTATAATTTACCTTCGCAAGTGAACCACGGTTTAGAATAGAGAGACTTCATTTCATTAGGTTGATCAGATGGAGAGGAAGCTTGTGGGCGAAAAAAAGCACTATAGGTAGACACAACCCTGATTTCAAAGAGAAGGGAATTTCTAGGTCCCTTCAATAATGAAAAACTCTGAAATTGGCAAGATGTGCTAATATACAGGATACAGTTGTTTGATCACTACTTCACGACAGGAGACTGGATGCAACACAAGTTCGCTTGTCTTCAAAAATGAGCATGGTGTTAATCATTAAACTGAGCACAAACTGGCTTTTTAGCAACTCAAGTGACGGCGAATTGATCACCCCAGTTATGAGCATTGAAGACACACTTCCAATGTTAGGAAGTACAACAAATAGTCTGAGGCCACCGGAGACTTATCATCACCAGTCCGCGTGGTGGTAATTTGAACAGAACAATAAAATGGCATGAAGAGCCATACAAACTTCTGTTAGAGCAACAAATCGATACCGAAAGAATACACTTGCCTTACATATCATTGGATAATTTTTCAAATCCACTGATGATAAGCTTTGTTTGTATCTTTTCATGGACTTTAACTAACGAAAAATGTTGTATGAATCAACAAAATTGCGTGAACGGGGATAGACTATTTTTGAAGACTTGCGTTTAAGCTTGCGGTATATCCAGCCCATACGAGTGTAACCCGGATAACAAATCGGACGGTTCACTACTCACAAAATTCAAATAAGCCATCGAGAATACAACATGCAAAATCATCGCTTGAGTCAGTTTTTTTTAGCTCGCAAACCATGCACCGAGTGCAGTGGTCCGTTCATCGTCCTCGTTCACCGAGGATAGTGAGAATAAGGGATTGAAAGCCACGGGTTGGAGGCCATGACCGCATCAGTTCATTGACATCAAATGGTTGTTTGTCCAGTATGGCAGGAAATGATAGCTACACAATAAGGCGATAATCAGAAGCAAGAGCGCCACTGGCCGCGTGACAGCCATATCTGTCGGGGTCGGGTTCCAACCATGAACCATCCGGGCAGTAAATTCGCGCTCTAACCACCGAGCAATCTCACCCCGTTCACTAGCAACCTTTCGTTTATGAACTTAATCAGTCTATCAGTACTTTCTTAGCTAGCCATTGAACCCTTCCTAGTGTCCCCTTACACAATGCCGCTATGAAACATCACACGAATAGCCCTGGAGTTGTGGATAAGATGTCAATGCGTAAGGCATTCTAAACCCCAAGAATTAGGTCCTTCCAAACGCGAAGGATAAAACGTTTTCAAATACATTCGGAATCGCAGTACGGAAGGCTACAAATATGATGTCCCATCGTCTGGATCCAGCACGTGTAAATATATATAAAAACTAATAAGAGGTTGATCCAGTTAAATTGAGTTAATTGAACAGCTCACAGCAACTGCTCGTGATAATCAACTGGAGACAGGAGTCCGGGAGCTTATGGAGAACGAAAAATCCTAATGACACCTAGGAAACTCGGCAATAGCAATAAACCAAACTCTGGTACCGACAGAATGAAGTAATAAAAAGCTAAAAATGTCGAGATATAAACATGCCAATATATTGTAACTGACTGTATATTGTAAACTGATGGAGTTATCATTCGTTCAATTGTGCGGGCTTTGTTCTTGTTCCTACAATTCACACTGGCTCACAACTTAAGAGGCCAGTAGCTGGTACTGGAACACAGCAGTATGCGGGATGGGGCGAATCTACATAACACTGGTGGCACTCCTAAGCTGCGATGGGGAAACGGCCAGTCATTTTTTACGGGAGGTTACGTGCAAGCCAATCCACTGTGGTGGCAGTGGCGCCGAGAAATTTTGTTATCTGGCAGATCAGGAGCTGAGCAGGTCGCTGCTTATTTTGTTTCAAATTACAGAAATTTATAATGGATGGTCCCATCACACTTCCACTGAGCTGATTTTTAGTACATCGATTTCAGGGTCATGGCATTCACCCATAACAACGAATACTTAGAATCCTTGTTTATTCACGCATTTGGCGAGTGTAACGAGGCGAGGGAATCGTGTTTCACATGCATGTCGAGCGTGTTGATTGGATTGTCGGAATCATGAGCACACGTCCGGACAGAAAACAAATTCTACAGTGATCTCTATTAATATCTGTTCACCATACACGCTCCCCGGCTTCCGACCCCAATGCAGCGCCGTAACGAGGTCAGTAAGGTTGTAATAAAGCCGCTTCCAACCAGAACGCAATACTTTGTCTCGTATTGACAGGCTTGCCAGCTAACACAACAGGAATGATGCCGTGATGTGTGTGAAGAGAGACTGGAACCGATCCACACATGTCCGACACAAATGCCATGAAGCACGTCTGTTGATTTAGTATAGAATGCGAACTCTGTATTTAAGTACCGATTTAAGCACCGATTGAGGACTACACATCATGCCCGATACTCCTAATCCAGAACTGTTTGACTTCTGAATTCGCTTCCACCACCTTTACCACTTTTTTAGTAGACAAGCTAGAAATCTGCCTTTGTGGCCAGTTCCATGAACGTAGGTTGCTCATCTGCCTCAAAATGCAAAAAGAACTACATGCCAATCAAGACTCGACGTATGGAAACCAAAATGTTCAGAAATCTAGAAGTGGCACTTAGCTAAACCCCGAAGTCCACAAGTTTAAAGATAGGGTTTGTCAACCATTGATTTGTACATCCTGCCCCTCAATGTCGATTTTTACATATATGTGCGCACGTCTAAAGTTGCGTCGCACATTGAATAGATCACATCAAATTCGTTTTCCATTGCCTTCTGATTTGGAAGGGTTGAAAATATGCCTGAGGTGACGGTCGACCGTTGGCTGGTCAGAGTGTGCGGTTCCACAGACAAAGACTTTTTAGCCCGCCTCGCCACGAGAAAACGCAGAATGATTGGGTGAGATTGCTCAGTGGTTAGAGCGCGAATTTACTTATCAGAAGGTCCGTGGTTTGAACACGACCTTCGCCTCTGTCTAGGCTTGAGCGACCTGTTAGTAACCCAGGCCTCGTGTTTCCCTCGCATGGAATGACAGTTAGGCATTGAAAGGGTGCCGCAGCTGAAACTGGGTGGTTGGCTGCTTCCGTAAATATGGAGAAACTGGTGGGAAACCTTACAGCTTCATTCACTGGTCGTCATCCATATCCATTACTACTCATCAAATGGTCGACTGCGCAAGTCGATATACCAGTTTCCTAACCACTGCTTCATATCTAAACTGTCCTCCCCTATCAATCCACACAGCAACGTTCAAAGACCATACTCTCTGCCAGATTGGGCAATTGTTATATCTTATTGCTGTTCCCGCTCCAGTGCCCGATGCCGGAAATAGACTCACCGATAAGAAACACAACAGCTTTATTGCGAACAAGCGAGTGCGAGAGTGTGAATGCGAAAATACAACGAACTCAAGTTATTTTATTGGAAGGGCACTATCTGACTTTGGTCCAACGCTGACTCGCGCTGTCTGGCTTTGATTCAAGACTGTCACGCGCTGCATATTGAGGGGGGGGCGTTGTCTGTCTGGTCGGTATCTAGTGGAGTTGAGGGTCTCAGTAGATTTCGGGCATCCAGTGGTTACTTTCAGAAATCTGGCTTTCCGGATAGCGACGCGCAAATCTTGCTGAACCTTAATCTTCCCTTTCAGTCACTGTACGGTGTATATCCGAAATACAAATACAAGACCCCTTCTATCCGCTAGGTCGTGGAACTCCGACTGCTCAGGACGGATTCATACTCTTCACAGTTCACTCATCGGGCATCTGTTGATCTTGACACCATGAATTGGGGGGTGCATTCAGAAAGGCTGAAAGCGCTTTAGCATACTGGATTTTAGTAAATTATCTTTACACTGTACGGTGTCTGTTTGTCGAGTCAACGTACATTCCCATAGACCGCAGGTCTGAAGCTGAAGTAGTTTTTACCGAGATCTGCCAGGACTGCTTGAGTCAGCAATATGCAAGTATGTTATGATCCAATCTGCACGATCAAAATCAGAAGAGACAGTTAAGTGGCAGGTTCGAAGTAGACGTTCAGTAAACGGAAAATGGAAAGTATCTTCTTCGGCTGTGTGCTGAACAGTGTTCAGTACGGAAGCTCACACTGAGTTACTCGGAGGTTACCAACGGCAAGCCAGCCATGGACTTCATCATCAACATCGGCAGCATGACATTAGTGTTCAATATCGATGCTTCACTGCCGTACGACCATGACTTATTTGAAAGCCTTATTAAAAAGAAAAGAATAAAGGTGGACGGGGGCTTAGTGCCAGCTTAGTACAATCATTCGGAGGTGCCTACACCTCCTGACATTTATTCAGGCAATGTGGATAAAAACTGACAACAAGAACGCCACTGATATCGGTTGACAGCCATATCTTAGTGTCTCAAACCGGGCGCAGTGGGGATCACGCGGTCCTCATCCTGGAAGATGAGTAGCACCGACAGCACCCGAACGTTTCGTAATCTGCTTCATAGTCCTTTGCCAGGTCAAGGTTGGCCTGCCTGCTTCTGCCACTATGAGTTTGACATGGAAAACAGCACTCTCTTCGGCAAACGATGGTTCGGTCCCAACCAACGCAGCTTCTGGTGATGGACACATGCTTCAATGGAAGTACCCGTTGCAGAACCGAAAACGCGCTTTC